TAACTATTTTTGATAAGAATGAATGACCCCACCCCCCAAAAAAAAAAATAGACTGGATAGTGGACACAGAGCAGCACCTGGAGACAGCAGAAGGGAAGAAAAAGAACTAGAGAAAAATCACTCAATATAAAGACCTGCAAATGGAAACAGAATGACGGTGGCAAGAGAAAGCAAAGACAGAGTCCGGTTAGTCACAGAAGCCTTGGGTGCTGCAACCTCAAAGCATCTGGAACGTCCTTTGAACACCATCGAACATTTGACGAAATCCCCACCTGTCAATTGCAAGAGGCAGTTCTACCTGGAACAGCTTCCATTCTGCAACAATAATGTACAGGTGACAACATCAAACACTCACGTCTGCCTATCCCAGGTCCTTGGGATAAAAAATGCTGACTCCAACCTAAACATCTGGCTGACTGTGTCAACACCACCATGACCAACAACAGCAACAACAACAATAATAAGAAATAATCAAACCTTTGGAAGAGAAAGGGAAGAAAATCCATGTGCCCTAAATAGTTCCTTCCTTCCTTTCTCTTCTTCCTCTTTCTTTCTTTCTTTCTTTCTTTCTTTCTTTCTTTCTTTCTTTCTTTCTTTCTTTCTTTCTTTCTTTCTTTCTTCTCTCTCTCTCTCTCTCTCTCTCTCTCTCTCTCTCTCTCTCTCTCTCTCTCTCCCTCTGTCCCACTCCTTTATTGAATCTCATATTCTATTTAATCTCCTGTTAATGATAATGCAGAAAGTGTCCTGTGTTTAAAGGAGGCCACTTTCTGATGAATTTGCAGTTCTTTGTATTTCCTCCCTTGCTAAAGCTGGCCTGGGGGAAGCAGAGGAGGGGAGGAATCCTTGAGATCCAATCTACAATTGAAAGAGCGGCATTCGCAAAAGGAACAAAGAGTTACTTGCAAATCCTCTGAAGGCTCCTTCATCCCCTGGGTGCAAAGGGGATATGGGTGTGCATCCTTCTGTGGGGGGGGGGGCAGTAGAGGAGCCAGGGGAGGGGTGTAGCAGGTTTTCTGGCAGCTGACATTCCTACTTCCAGCAGTTCCAAGCAGGTGACAGGACTCCCTGGCCGAGGGTAGGAAACCACCACTGCTCTGCCCGTCTTGGAGATGCTGGAGATATTTATTTGTCTTTGTGGAGAACCGGAACGGGCAGAGTTTTGCACACCCGGTCTATTCTTTGAACATCGCCCCACCTGCTGTCCTGTGGCTCAAAGCGTCATAAAAATTGGGGCACTGGGGAGGTTTCTCCATTCCCCTTTGCGTGGTGCCAGAAAGGGAGACGGTAGGGTGGGCCAGAGGAGGGAAAGGCTGAGCAAACACCAGCCAGGGTTTCATCCTCTAAAGAAAGAGCATCTCTGCCCCTCCCCTTCCTCAGCCGGATCAAAGGAGCCCCTCTCAAAGAGAGCCCCTCCTCTGCAGGGGAAGACAGAGTCACCCTCTGGACACCTGCTCAGCGACCACTGCTAGCATCCTGCCTGCCGCCTCCTTCTCCTCCTTCGGCTGAATCCTCTGGAGGAAGCCTCTCTCCAACCCAGCGGACGGACGGCTTTTGCCTCTGTTCTCACGCCACAGCCTCTTACGCGGAGGGCTACCCCATCCCGGGTTATGAAGGACCAGCTTTAAGCTGTGGGTGAGAGAAAGAAAAGCCCACCCGCTCACCCCCCCCCCACCCCCTTGGCTGAAATAAGCAAACCCCACCAAATGGGAAGGGGCCATGGGGACCAGGAAATAACCTTGGAGCGATAGGGTTCCCTTGGATCTAGTTCTGGAAAGTGGGAAGGGAGAAACTCAGCTTCTCACTAATGTATCTCACTACGGAAAGGATGGTGAGATGGTGAGAAATACGGGGAGGGGGGGGGGAAATAAATATGGAATCTCACACACACCCCTCTCTCCCACTCTCCTTGAAATAGAGGCCCCCAGGGGCTGGTTTGTGTCCCAGATAACCTTCACAAGGTCTTGAAGCTTTAGTTCCTTTCTTTTCAAATGAAAGGGGGAGTAAGAGGGTACTGTATAAATGGAAATTGGCAGCACAGGTGAGGGGTGCAAATATGTCAGATCCCTCACCCTTTAGAGGGAGAAATCCAAACATCCATCTATTTCCCTTCACCCCTGTAGAGTAAGATTCCATTTACGTCCCAGCAAGAAGAGAAAGTGGGATCACCCAGAGCTGTTCCATACATAGATGGTGAGCATGGCGCATGTTTGCATGTGCAAGTGCAGAACTGGCAGTCATGAATCTAAAACAGTGATGCTTACAAGGGAGAATAGGAAAGGCTTTTGGAAGGAAGGAAGGAAGGAAGGAAGGAAGGAAGGAAGGAAGGAAGGAAGGAAGGAAGGAAGGAAGGAAGGAAGGAAGGAAGGAAGGAAGGAAAGCTTTTGGGAAAGCTAAGAAGAACATGCATGCCCTTTGTCCAAGGTTCTTGAGCACAACTCTGATTCAAAGGCACTTCTTCACCTCTTCCCTTAACTTCTCCCTGTCCTTCTCCAAAGTCACCCAGTGGCTTCCTTGCCTAAAGCCACCACATTCTCCCATCCTAAGCCACCGGTCCAAGGCTCAGCCCTCAGATCAGAAGCACCCATCCCATTGACAGCTCTCCTCTGGCTTCAGTCTGGGGATCATTCCCCCCCCCCCACCTTGTACCAAACGCAGAAAAAAAGGGGCGCGCAGTCCCCGTCTGTGTCTCCCCCTGTGAAGGAACCCCTCTTCGGATAGTCTCCGTCTCCACCGCAGCCACCGAAACGGCCAGCCCCAGAGGAACTTCCAAAGACCCCCTCAGCCTCCTTTGGCTTTGAAATCCAACCCTCCCACCTCCCAAGCGAGGCTGGCAACCAGGTCCACCTGGGGAGAGCCCTTCCCGGCCAAGGCAAAGCCACAGAGGAAGCCACCCAAGAAGAAGGAGAAGAGGAGGAAGAGGGCGGGAGGAAACCGAGGCAAAAGTTTCCCTCCGACTTACGGTATTTGGGGCTGGAGTTGGTCTCCGGCGGGGCGGCGGTGGTGGTGGTGCTGCTGGCCTCTTGGAAGGGGGATAAGGTCCACGAAGGAGCCGAGTCCTGAAGATAAGTCTTGTACGACGAGGTAGTGTACGCCGCAGTGGGCCAGGCCGCCCCAGGCGGGCTCCGAGGGGCGCCGGGCGGCGGGCGGGCCAGGAGGAGCGTGGTGCTGAAAGGGACAGCGACGGCAGCCGTGGTGCTGCCGGTGCTGCCGCCGGCCAGGAGCGTCGGGGGCGCCAGCGTGTGGCGCGCCGTGGTGGTCCGCGGCGGGATGGCCCGCATGGGGCCCCGGGTGGCCGGGAAGCGGGTAGGAGCCTTGGTCATGGTGGTGAGGCGGGTGCTCATCCGGTTGGGCGTCTGAGAGGCGGCGGCGGCGGCGTCCGTGCCGGGCGAGGCGGCGGGCTCCCCGCCCTTGGGCGGCGTGGTGGGCTGCTTGGAGAGGAAGAAGGGGTCCTGCTCGATCCCCTTGGAATCCATCAGCTCGGTGGGCAGGTACTCCTGCACGGACCCCACCACGATCCACTTGAGCAGCATCAGGCTAAGCCCCAGGCCCACGAAGCCGATGAAGAGGGGCACCACACACAGCCACGTCTGCTGCCGGTTCCACACCAGGCATTCGCCGCAACGCAGCTCCCGGCCCGCCGCCTCGGGCCCTCCATCGCCCGCCGCAGGGCCCCCGCCCGCCGCCGCCGCCGCCGCCGCCCCCTCCTCGGCAGCGGCTGCGGCACCCGGCGGCGAGGCGACCCCTTCGCTCATCCTCCTCGGCGCCTTTCTAGCCCTCCCCCGGGGGGAAGCAGCGGCATCGAGGGCGGGGAGGGCGCAGCATGCGGAGCGGCGGGGAAGCGGGGCGGGGGGGGGGACGGGGGGAGGAGGAGGAGAAGAGGAGCGGGAAGACCCGACGGCAGCGGGGTGGGGGAGGCGGCCGCAGCCCGGTAGGTCCCCGAAAGGGCTCGCCTCCCTTCGATCCGGAGAGCGCGACACCCCGCCCGCCCTCTCAGCTACACCATTCACACGACCGCTGCTGAATCAGCTGGAACGCGCGAGCAGCTCTCCCCACCTTCCGCCGCCGAGCTCGCCTCCTTTTCCCGGCGATTTCCCGCCCCCTCCCGGACTCCGGATCTCTCCCCCCACCCCCCACCGCCCACCCGCCCGACAAATTAGGAGAAGGCTCGGACGAAGCCCCCCAGATCCTGGGCGTCCTTGGCCAAGCGGGTGCCGGGAAGCCGGGGCTTTCAGGTGGTAACGATCCGGGCCGAGGAGGGGCTTCTCCCCTGCTTTCCAAACCAAGATCCGCAACGAGCAGCCATCCGGAGCCCCTTTCCCTGAGGAAGAGAAACGCCTCTCGGGGAGCCGCTCCTGCTTCGGGGCGACGCTGCTCCGGTCCCCGCCTGCCCGCGTTCCTGCCTCCCTGCTACCCCCTCTTCCCGAAGCGACCGGAGCTCTTGCTAGTCGGTAGCCCCGCCGCCGGTCCTCGGGCAGCGCTGGCAGAAAGGCGAGACCGAGCCGGAGGCGGCGGCAGCCTGCAGGGGAAGCCCAGCCGCCAGCCCCGGGGCTGCTGGAGAGCCGGTCACCCCCGGCATCCTCGCCGAAGCCGAAGGGGACGCGGGTTTGGCCTCCTGACAAACCAAGCACGAAGCGGCGGCGGGGTGGAGGGGAGGAGAGGGGAAGGGGGGGGGGGAGGCAGGTTAAAAAAAATCCCAGCCAAAAAGAAACCACACAGGCGCGCTGGCAGCTCCGAAGGGGAGGAGAGGCAGGCACGCGCCCGCGCCTTCCCACGCGCGCGCAGCCCCGGGATTCCAAGCCCGTGCCAGGGCCGGCCTGCCCGGCTTTCCCTCCCCTGCCTTTCCCTACTGGCGAAGGCGGCGGTGGATTCCTGCCGCGCGGAGGAAGGGTGGGGGGGGGGCGGGAGGAGGGAGAGACAGGGCAAAGGAAGCGGGGCCCCTCCCTCCCACTTGGCTCCGAGGAGGAGGAGGAGGAGGAAGAGGGTGGGGTGCCGGGATTGCGGCCTCCGAAGCCACCGGGTGCCACGCGCTCCCTCCGGAGGAAGAGATCCGGAGCTGGGCCGGGGGCCGCTTCCCAGCCCAGGTGTCCGCTCGGCGCTCCTGCGGCGGCTGGGCTGAAGCAGCGCGCGGTCGCCCGCCCGCCCGCCCGGGAATGCGCGGCTCTCGTGCCCGGGACCGCGCTCGGGCAGGCGCGCCCGCGCGCACGTGGAGGGCTGCATGGGCAGAGGGGGAGTGGGGCGGGTGGCTGGGCCAGCAACCGCTGGTCTTTCGGCGTGGGATTCCGCCTGCAGCCGGGCGGCTCCTCTAGACTCGGAGCGAAGGAAAGAGCTGCCCCCCACCCACCCCCCCACCCCGAAAAAAGGGGAGCGAGAAGGCTGAGCTTTCTTTTTTTTTTTCTGGCGCGGGGGCTCCGGCGGGGCGCTGGGCACCTTTTCTCCGCCGCTACCGACTCAGGTGCCGTCCCTGGCAAAGCGCCGCCCGCGGGGAAAGCCGCCTCTCCTCCGCCCGCTCCGGTTGGCGAGGGGCATCTCTCTTTCTCTCTCTGTGCGGAGCAACCGGGACCGAAGCGCCGCGCGGACTGGGCGCCTTGCTCTGGGCTGGAGTCGGAAGGAGAAGGGGACGGTTTGGATAGTCCCGCGCGGCTCCGGGGGAGACTTCAACTGCCCGGCTCTTGGGCTGGAGGCAGGAGGAAGACCCAACATCGCGGGCTGTGAGCGAAGGAAGGCGTCGCCCTCTCTGTGCCTACTTTAGGGGGCAAGCCGAGATACCGTCTCTCTCTCTCTCCCTCTCTCTCTCTCTCTCTCTCTCTTTCTCTCTCTCTCTCTCTCTCTTCCACCCACCCACTCACTCTCGGCGCTGTAATGGAAATCTAACCGTCCGAAGAAGTGGGCTCCCTGGGTCCGCCGAGGCTAGCTATCCGTTGCCCTTTCTTGAAAGTTCTTCCAAACGCCGGAGGAATTAAGAGAGCATCGATTGCCTAATTAATCCCCTTGGATGCTCACTTTGAACCTTCTGGCCAGGCAGCGGGTGCCGGACGGACGGCGCCGTCCTATAAAACACGAAATAAAAAGAGACGCAGAATGATGGATCGACGTGTCTGAGCAGGAGGTGAAGTAGCATCAATAACAGTACTAGAGGACGAAGAAAGGCAGTCTAAACCAGGAGTCCCCAAACCTGGCGACTTTTAAGGTTGGTGGACTTCAATTCCCAGAATTCTCCAGCCCTGGAGAATTCTGGAAGTTGAAGTCCACAAGTCTAAAGTTGCCAAGTTTGGGGACCTCTGGCCTAAATGCTGAGACTGGAAAGGAACTCAGCTATGCAGAGTTATTCGGGATCGATAAAATTTCCCACCCGGCCTTGGGAACCTGGCATGGTTGAGGGCTAGAGGGAGAAAGGGCTAAAGCTCAGCTTTTGGGACAAGGAGAATTCTTGGCTGGCAAAAACTGTGGAGAAGAGTCCGTTGATGTGACAGCAGCAAAATCTACAACAACCTTGAAGTGGTAGATTCTGGTGCAGGAAAGACTGCACCAGAAACATGTTTTGCACAGAGACCTTCAGTAACAACCATCTAGCCATCATTGCCTTCATGATATAAGCCCTGCAGGGCAGGATGGTTCCATGGTTTTTGTCTCTCCGTCCCTAAGCTATATATAGCACCAGGACAGGGCCAGGATGGTTTTATGAAGATAAAATTCGCTCCAGTGCACATTTACACAGAAAAGAGGCTTATTTGCCTCCAAGATGAGATGAGGGATGGTTTTATTTACACACACACACACACACCCAAAAAAGAACCAAACACAAAGCAGCCTTGTGTCTCATTGTAGACATATTGATTAGCTCATCTGCCAAGCTCTTAGGTAAATGGTGGGATATGGCCATGTGTCTCTGTGGGATTGGAAGAGAAATGTTACGAGCCCTTGTGAGCCCAAAGACTTCGCCTAAAGGCTAATAAAACCTCTCTCGTTACTATTAATTGCTATCATGTACAAAGGCATCAAAGGACGATGCACCGGAGACAAGTTTATTTTAAAAAAATGTAGAGTTGATCTACAGAACCACGTTGTCCCAGTGTAAATATGTACCTTTAAGCTATTTCTCAAGGGTGGATCCAAGCGGACACTGGCCAGATAAAATAACCCAAAGAAGCAGTGTGAGATGGGAAGACGTGGCAAGACCTGACCCATATAGTTGGATGCAACTGAATCATCATCATTTTCTTCTTTATCATCACCACCACCACCACCATCAACTCAGAAGGACCTGCTATTTTTACACACACACACACACACACACACACACACACACACACACACACACAC